TCAGTATCTAGGGCAGACGCAGCAGTGGACTCGAAAGAAGGGTCAGTGACGACAGTAGCAAGGAGACGCGTGATAGTAGGACTGACAGCACGAAGAGAGTCTGACTCCGGGTCGGCAAGAGTAGGGAGAGAGGACGTAGGAGGAGAAGGCAAAGGGGCACGTAGAGGAGTAGTGGACGGACGCAGAGACATCTGGTGCGTGCCAGGGACAGGAGGAGGATGCTGACGCGAACCGCGACCACTAGTGCGAGCAGCAGGAACAGGCGATGCAGGACGAGACGCAGGCTTACGACGCTCAGCAAGACCTCCAGTAGGACCAGTGTAGGGAGAGGGAGCAGGTAGAGGGGAGGCAGGCTGTAACTGTAGCTGTGACTGGACAGGCTGTGGACACTCTAAAGAAGGAGGAGGACCTGTAGAAGGTGGAAGACCAAGAACCTGCTGCAGGAGTGGAACGAAGTACGGTCGAGGCCGCGCGGCGACGCCAGACACAGCAGGGACAGCACCAGTACCACCAGAAGGAGCACTCGCTCCAGCAGCACCTCCAGCAGCTCCAGAACCTCCAGCAGGACCGCGGGCAGTAGGCTCAGCACCAACGCCCGCAGTAGCACCAGCTCCAGTCGAACTCGCAGGCCCTGCAGCTCCAGTACTCCCAGTACGAGCACCTCCGGGACCCGCGACACCAGCACCCTCAGCAGTCGAAGAACCTCCAGCTCTAGCAGCACGCCTCCAGCACCGTGCAAACCACTCGCGCAGCTCCGGGGGGGAGAGTGGCTCCCGGCGAGACGAAGCCCCCGGAGGACCTCCAGGCGTAGCACCTCCAGGCTCAGCACCGTCAGTCGCAGCACCCCTAGGCTCAGCACCCCCTGGCTCAGTACCCCCATTCGCAGCACCCCCAGGCTCAGCACCCCCGGTCGGGGAGTGACGGGCAGACCATCCGCCTCAGTACAGGTTGTTGGGTGTTCGCGCGCCCACTGCGCACGGGTTCCAAGAAGCTAAACGTCCACGTTAGCTCCGTCGTACTCGCTAGCCGCGTGGCGTGCCCGAACATCATCTAACCGCGCCTGCAGGGTATCCTCTTTGCCTGCTACGACTTCCTGATCGTCCATGGTGGTCTAGACGGCTGCCGGGCTACAACGACTTAGGAAATGTGTAAACGTCGGCTACTAACTGAAGGTACGTTGCGGGGCCGTTCCTGTTAGAGGTCCACAGGTGATCCCCGATTGATCCTAGGGAAGGGTTACAGGCATGTTGGCCTGGGGGGTTATGGGTGCACTGACCCGCTACTTAACAAGCCCTTTTATCCCAATGGTCTAGTGGTTGGGATTTTGACATGGTATCAGAGCGAAGGTCTCAGGTTCGAATCCTGGTGTATGTACTTCGGGCATCCCAGTATGGGGGGGTGTCAGAGGTCCACTGGTGATCCCCGATTGATCCTAGGGAAGGGCTACAGGCATGTTGGCCTGGGGGGTTATGGGTGCACTGACCCGCTACATAACAAGCCCTTTTATCCCAATGGTCTAGTGGTTGGGATTCTAACAGTTCCACGCTCACCGCACCATGCGGAGAGTCACGACACAACGGGAGTAGACTACGGAGGAAGGCACGAGGTTGAGCGGGTGATCGTAGCGTTGCACTAGGCGTTCTCACTGCTTGCTAGAATGGCCAGAATTCCACTAAGAAATTGAAAGAACATTAGATTACAATGAGGCATGCAAGTTGATATAGCTAGAATGGCATTGCAGCACCTAGCAAGGCCTCTGCAAGGGGAACTATGCCAGCATAGCAGAAGAGCGGCTTGCCAAAGTTGCAGCAGAGTAGTCTGCCAGCACGGTATAGCAGCGGTCTGTCAGCGCAGTATAGATGCGGTCTGCCAGTGCTGCAGAGGCAGGTGAACTTCTGCGCAGGTGCGCACCTACCAAGTAGGTGCAGGTAGACGGACGAGACGCAAGCTCACGACGCTCAGCAAGACCTCCAGTAGGACCAGTGTAGGGAGAGGGAGCAGGTAGAGGGGAGGCAGGCTGTAACTGTAGTTGTGACTGGACAGGCTGTGGACACTCTAAAGAAGGAGGAGGACCTGTAGAAGGTGGAAGACCAAGAACCTGCTGCAGGAGTGGAATGAAGTACGGTCGAGGCCGTGCGGCGACGCCTAACACAGCAGGGACAGCACCAGTACCACCAGAAGGAGCACTCGCTTCAGCAGCACTTACAGCAGCTCCAGAACCTCCAGCAGCACCAGTAGTACCCCCAGCAGGACCGCGGGCAGTAGGCTCAGCACCAACGCCCGCAGTAGCACCAGCTCCAGTCGAACCCGCAGGCCCTGCAGCTCCAGTACTCCCAGTACAAGCACCTCCGGGACCCGTGGCACCAGCACCCTCAGCAGTCGAAGAACCTCCAGCTCCAGCAGCACGCCTCCAGCACCGTGCAAACAACTCGCGCAGCTCCGGGGGGGAGAGTGGCTCCCGGCGAGACGAAGCCCCCGGAGGACCTCCAGGCGTAGCACCTCCAGGCTCAGCACCCTCAATCGCAGCACCCCTAGGCTCAGCACCCCCAGGCTCAGTACCCCCAGTCGCAGCACCCCCAGGCTCAGCACCCCCAGGCTCAGCACCCCCAGTCTCAGCACCCCCTTTCTCAGCACCCCCAGGCTCAGCACCCTCAGCAGCACCAGAGTCACGAGTAACCTCGACAGGTTCGACTGCGTCTACCTGGGACACACCTGAAGGGGCAGGACCCTGAGGGGGGAAGGGGTCTACCGGGGGGGGACCTGGGACAAGGAAGAGCGGGGGTGGGGGGAGGGACGGAGTGCGGTAGGGGAAGAGGCGGTAGTAGGGGATTGACTCGTCAAACGTGACGTCCTGGGAGGACAGAACATGGCGAGAGGTGGGGTGGTAGAACTGCCACCCAGGCGCGTCAGGGGGGAACCCCAGGAAGACGCAAGGAGCAGCACGAGGGGACAGCTTGTCCTCAGACAAGTCGCGGAAGAACGCCCAAGATCCCCAGACCCGGAACGCCGACGCATCGCCAACCTTCCCCGTCCACAGCACGGCTGGGGAGGTCTCCGACTTGGAGACCCTGGGGTGGAGGTTGATCTGATGCGCCGCGTACCTCACCGCAAACGGCCACAGAAAATGGGGGGCAGCCGCATGCATCATGGACGTACGAGCGACGTCCATGACCATGCCAATGCGGCGCTCAGCGATCCCATTTTGCTGTGGAGAGTCCAGAAGCGTGAAGGTCTGACGGATGCCTCGTGCGCGACAGTAGGCTCTGAGAAGGCCAGAGGAAAACTCTCCGCCTCTGTCCGAGTGCAGACGCAGAACAGGAAAGTCCGAGCCAAAGCTCTGCCTGAGCTGGAGACGAGCTGCGCGGATCCACTCGATCAGCACCTCAGTGACATCACCCTTGCTGCGCAAGGGGAAGACTGTGGTGTAACGCGAGTAGTCGTCAACCACCAGCAGGAAGTAGCGCTCGTGACCTTGTCCACGGACGCGGGCTGGGCCCCACACGTCCATGTGAAGCGTCTGCAGCGGGGCCTCTGTCGGAGGAAACTGGGAGGAGTGAGGGGCAGCCCGCTGGCGCCCCTCGACACAGGGGACACAGGTAGGGCCAGGGCCCTGAGGAAGGGGAGGGAGTGACCGGGGGAGACCAGAAACAAGAAGACAGGAGGCCATGCCTCTCAGCCGAAGCAGAGAGGGGTGACCAAGACGGTGGTGCCAGAGGAGAGTCTCGTGAGAGAGGAGACGACACGAACAGGGGGCAGACTCAGGACCAGACCTGGACGCTGCAGCAAACACCTGACCTGACGCAGCTACCCTACCAGACTCAGCAACTGGAGGAGACGCAGTGGTCAGTGTGTACAGGCTCGACCCCGGCTGACGGGTAAACGTAGCCAGGTGTCGGCCTGTGCTAGCCTCTGTGCAGTGCGTCACCCGCTGACGCGCAGGAGTGAACTGGTGTACGCCCCCATCCTGTAGGTCAGCACCACTCACCAGGTTCGTAGAGAACGAGGGGAGGTAGAGACCAGACAGGGTGCCAGAGGGAGCCGCTGGACACGGGAGGACTGTGGAGAAGTGAGAGAGGACAGGACCCCCAGAGGGGTCAGCCAGAGACACCGCAACCGGCCAACTGAGCGGCGTGAGCGTGGTGCGGTCCCGAAAGAAGGAGCGAGAAGCCCCAGAGTCAAGGGTGAAGGTGAGGGAGGCCGAAGCCGACGCAGTACATGAGAGCGCAGACTCACCAGTACCTGCGGACATAGACGCACTAGCACCTGGAGCAGCAGCGTCGCAGGCACCTAGGGCAGTAGCCTCACCAGTACCTAGAGCAGCAGTCTCAATGCCCGGATCGGGCGGGAAACACCAGTAACAGTCACCCTCATCACTAATAGACACAGCATACATGGCAGAAAGGATAGCATCAAAATCAAGATTATAGATGGCAACATCCGCCCTAGACAGATCGCCCCAGCGAGGGATCTCTGTGGCCTCCGGGAACTGGTGACGCCACGTGTCCGTCAGGCGGCCAAAGCAGCGCTGGGTGGGGTGCGCACCCCCACACTGCTCACCCGCACGGTCGCCGGTGCGTAGGACGTAGGTGCACGGACCAAAACCCCCACCCCGCTGGCGTCCAATGTACCACTCACGGAGCAGCTGAGGGGACAGGGTCTCATGACCGCGCTGCTGCTGCTGACGCGGACCACCACCGGAGCCACTCCTCTGCGTAGACCCGCGACCAGCTCCACCGCCACCCCCGCCACCTCCACCGCCTCCGCCGCTTCTGTCGCCTCAGCTGCTACCGCCGCCTCCTCCGCTGCCTCCACCGCCACCACCTCCGCCACCTCCGCTCCCACCGCCACCGCCGCTGCCGCCTCCGCCTCCACTGCCGCCACCGACACCTCCACCCCCACCTCCACTCCCACCGCCACCCCCACTCCCCCCGCCGCCTCCACCTCCACCTCCACCGCCCCCGCTCGCTCCTCCCGCGCCCCTGCCCTCCTTGCCCTTGCCCTTAGAGGCCCCGAACGGCCCCGAGGGAGGGACCTGGGGAGACCAGAAACAAGAAGACGAGAGGCCATGTCTCTGAGCCGAAGCAGAGAGGGGTGACCAAGGCGGTGGTGCCAGAGGAGAGTCTCGTGAGAGAGGAGACGACACGAACAGGGGGCAGACTCAGGACCAGACCTGGACGCTGCAGCAAACACCTGACCTGACGCAGCTACCCTACCAGACTCAGCAACTGGAGGAGACGTAGTGATCAGTGTGTACAGGCTCGACCCCGGCTGACGTGTAAATGTAGCCAAGTGTCGGCCTGTGCGAGCCTCTGTGCAGTGCGTCACTCGCTGACGCGCAGGAGTGAACTGGTGCACTCCCCCATCCTGTAGGTCAGCACCACTCACCAAGTTCGTAGAGAACGAGGGGAGGTAGAGACCAGACAGGGTGCCAGAGGGAGCCGCCAGACACGGGAGGACAGTGGAGAAGTGAGACAGGATAGGACCCCCCGAGGGGTCAGCCAAAGACACGGCAACCGGCCGACTAAGCGGCGTGAGTGTGGTGCGGTCCCGAAAGAAGGAGCAAGAAGCCCCAGAGTCAAGGGTGAAGGTGAGGGAGGCCGAAGCTGACGCAGTATCTGAGAGCGCAGACTCACCAGACGCACTAGCACCTAGAGCAGCAGCGTTGCAAGCACCTAGGGCAGCAGCCGCACTAGTACCTAGAGCAGCAGTCTCAATGCCCGGATCGGGCGGGAAACGCCGGTAATAGTCACCCTCATCACTAATAGTCACTGAATACATGGCAGATAGAATAGCATCAAAATCAAGATCATAGATGGCAACTCCCGCCCTAGACAGCTCGCCCCAGTGAGGGATCTCTGTGGCCTCATGGAACTGGTGACGCCACGCGTCCGTCAGGCGGCCAAAGTAGCGCTGGGTGGGGTGCGCACCCCCATACTGCTCACCCGCACGGCCGCCGGTGCGCAGGACGTAGGTGCACGGACCAAAACCCCCACCCCGCTGGCGTGCGGTGTACCACTCACGGAGCTGCTGAGGGGACAAGGTCTCACGACCGCGCTGTTGCTGCTGGCGCGGACCACCACCGCAGCCACTCCTCTGCGTAGACCCGCGACCAGCTCCACCGCCACCTCCGCCGCCTCCGCCGCCTCCGCCACCACCGCCGCCTCCGCCACCACCGCCGCCTCCGCTACCACCACCGCCTCCGCTCCCTCCGCCACCGCCGCCGCCTCCGCCTCCACTGCTGCCACCGGTACCCCCACCCCCTCCACCACTCCCACCACCACCCCCACTCCCTTCGCCGCCTCCACCGCCACCTCCACCGCCCCCGCCAGCTCCTCCAGCGCCCTTGCCCCCCTTGCCCTTGCCTGTGCGGCGCTTCCCCGAAGGGGCAGACGCAGCGCCGACCGACTCGAAACCAACGAGGTCGGCCGCAGCAGCAGAAGCAACAGAGGGCAAGAGAGGGGAGGGAGAACACCCCTCAAAGACAGGGGTGCGGGGGTCGCCACGAGAGGCTCCTACAGCGACTATGCTCTTCTCCGCCGCTAGGAGGGACTTCTCGAGGAGGTCAATGGTGAGAGTGGTGGGGCACACTGCGAGGAAGTGGTCCTTGACTACTCTAAGGGAGTCGGGGAGTCGGGTGACTATGAAGTAGAGGGTGATGTACATGGGGGGGGGGGGGGGGGGGGGGGTTCTTGGTGCAGAAGTCAGCAGGAAGCGCAGCGCGGTAGCGAGTGTCACTATTGCGGAGGTGCGTAATGAGGTCAGCGACTGTGGGAAAGGCAGCAAGGTCAGGGAAGAGGTACGGCAGCATGAGACGGCTCAGTGCAACAGTGGCAGAGGAGGAGTAGCGTGCAACTACAGCGTCGTACAAGGTCTGAGCACTCTTGTACTGACTAAAGTGTGCACGCTCGGAGGTAGGGAGGTGGCGACGCACAGCAAGACGTGCAGCAGCGTCGCGCGTGGCCCACTGGGAACGAACAGTGGCGTCAGCATCAGCAGCAGGGGCAGGGGAAGCGCCAGAGGTGAGGTCAAAGAGAGAGAGGCCGTCTGCCCTATCGCACTGTAAGAACAGCTGCAGGTCATCTACCCAGACCTCAAAGTCAATGGCCCGTCCCTCAGCATCAAAAGCGAGGACACTAGGGGTAGCCATGACCACAGTAGACTAGCAGTGCAAACAGTAGGGTGACGGCAGTGCAGTGAAAGAGGCGCTGTGCTCACCAGACTGGGCAGCTCGGGCAGCTCGGAAGCAGGGCGGTTCGGCTGCTGGGCGGCTCGGCTGCTAGGCGGCACGGCTGCTGGGCGGCTCGGCGGCTCGGCTGCTGGGCGGCTCGGGTGCTGGGCGGCTCGGCTGCTGGGCGGTTCGGCGGCTCGGCTGCTGGGCGTCTCGGCTGCTGGGCGACTCGGCTGCTGGGCGGCTCGGGTGCGAGGCCGCTCGGCTGCTCCGTCGCCCGGGCGGCTTGGCGGTACTGCTGCAGGGCGGCGCGGCGGTCGGCTGCTCGGCTGGGTGGGGCGGGTCGGGCACTCCTGGTGGCGGGCGGCGCTGCAGCAGGTGAGAGGCGGCGAGGCCGCAACAGAGGGCGGCGTGGCCGCAGGTGACAGTGGCAGGGCCGCAGATGAGTGCGGTGGGGCCGCAGCAGAGGGCGGCAAGGCCGTAGATAAGGGCGGCAGAGGCCGCAGCAGTTTTGGGCGGCGGGGCCGCAGTGAGAAGGGCGGCGACGGGCCGCTGCTAGGGCGGCGACGGGCCGCAGGTGAGAAGGGCGGCTACGCGCCCCTGTTAGGGCGGCGACGGGCCGTTACTAGGGCGGCGACTGGCCGCTGCTAGGGTGGCGACGGGCCGCAGGTGAGAAGGGCGGCGACGGGTCGCTGCTAGGGCGGCGACGGGCCGCTGGTGAGAGGGCGGCGACGGGCCGTAGCTAGGGCGGCGACGGGCCGCAGCTAGGGCGGCGACGGGCCGCAGGTGAGAAGGGCGGTGACGGTCCGCAGGTGAAAAGGGCGGCGTCGGGCCGCATGTGAGAAGGGCGGCGACGGGCCGCTGCTAAGGGCGACGCGACGGGTCGCTGCTAGGGCGGCGACGGGCCGCTGCTAGGGCGGCGACGGGCCGCTGCTAAGGGCGACGCGACGGGTCGCTAAGGGTGACGCGACGGGTCGCTAAGAAGGGCGCGACCCTAAGCGCGCTTCGGGCAGAGGCAGAACGCGCCCTGGGTAGGGAAAAAAAAATCGGTGGGCCCTAGGAACAGTTCCCTGGAGGGAACCTGCTCGATACCATGAGAAAGTATGAACGAGAGAATGAATGAACTATGAATGAAGTGAGTTCAAGTACTAACCCTAATTGGGTTGTACCCCCTATGGGATACCCCACTACAGCCTACACAGCAGCATAAGCTATAATGTTCTGACAGCCATGGCTAGCGGTGGGCCCATTAATAAGAAATTGTCCGCGGGAACGAACAGCTCTGATACCATGACAAAATTAAGAGGCTACCTAGGCTAGGAGAAAGCCTAGCCAAGGAGCATGGGTGAGGTAGAACGGGAGTAGCGATAGGAAATGCAAGGCAAGAAAGTGATTCACTAATGAGAATTGTGAGTACAAATAGCAAACAGCAACACAAGGAGGTGCACCACCAAACATGATGCAATATCTACACTACACTGCAAACTATTATATAAAATATGTAAACATATTTTGACAGTGGATGTTGAAAAACGACGGCAGAAGTGTTTGTCTGTGTCGCGTCATTAAAACTTCACAATACACACAAAAACAGGATAGCTATGAATCCGATTACTGTGCTAGATATTTGACAAACATACAAATGAAATTACTGGTATTTAAAAATCCCTATCTATGATATCAAAAAAGGGTCGTAAATGAAATCCTGGTATTCAATATCATACACGTGCGGGATGTTCTATATGATTAATCACTAAAACGTATACATTGAATTGTGTTTAAGATCCGGTAAAATATACTAACAGCCCTACTGGTCAAATTATTCGATGCATCAGCTTTATGAGACTTAGATTTTCTCTTTTGAACAAAGGAATGGTGGTAAAAAAGGCATCCAGACGTTGGCGAGCTGACATGTTGCGCACAGGCCTACTATTCTTGCATAGTTCGAGGCCAGCAAACGCACGAACAAGCGCCAGGAGCTACGTAGTTGTGCGAACGAGCTCAAACCAGTTCCTATGGCAAGGGAATAGGATGTAATTCCCTAATGTGTAAACAAATAGTCGTAAAAAAGGCATACAAATGTTGGCGAGCTGCCATGTTGCGTGCATGCCCATCTTTGCACAAATTTACCATGGAACGCACAAACATGCGCCACGTGCTGCTTAGTTGTGCGAACTAGCTCAAACCAGTTCCTATGGCTAGGGATAAGGATGTACTAGGGAGGTGTGCGAAGAAATAGAGGTGGAAATAACTTACAGATGGTGAAACGGTGACATGTTGCAAACAGACCTGTCCTTGCACAGATTCACCATGGAACGCACAAACACGCGCCACGTGCTGCGTAGTTGTGCGAACTAGCTCAAACTAGTTCCTATGGCTAGGGAATAGGATGTAATAGGGAACGGTGTGAAAAAATAGTGGTCAAAAAGGCATCCAGACGTTGGCGAGCTGACATGTTGCACGCAGGCCTATCCTTGCACAGATTCACTATGGAACGCACAAACATGCGCCACGTGCTGCGTGGTTGTGCGAAAGTTCCTATGGCTAGGGGATAGGGTTTACTAGGGAAATGTGTGAAGAAATAGAGGTAAAAACCACACTCTGACGTTGAAACAGTGACATGTTGCGCACAGGCCTATCCCTGCACAGTTTTAGGCCAGCAAATGCACAAACAAGCGCCACGTGCTGCGTGGTTGTGCGAAAGAGGTCAAACCAGTTCCTATGGCTAGGGAATAGGATGTATTGGGGAAAGAAATAGAGGTAAGAACCACACCCAGACATAGAAACAGTGACATGTTGTGCACAGGCCTATCCCTGCACAGTTTCAGGCCAGCAAATGCACAAACAAGCGCCACGTGCTGCGTTGTTGTGCGAACGAGGTCAAACAAATTCATATGGCTAGGGAATTGGATGCAATAGGGAACGGTGTGAAAAAACAGTGGTAAAAATGGCATCCAGACGTTGGCGAGCTGACATGTTGCACGCAAGCCTATCCTTGCACAGATTCACTATGGAACGCACAAACATGCGCCACGTGCTGCGTGGTTGTGCGAAAGGGCTCATACAAGTTCCTATGGCTAGGCAATAGGATGTGCTAGGGAAATGTGTGAAGAAATAAAGGTAAAAACCACACTCTGATGTTGAAACAGTTGAGAAGAAACGAGAATGAATTATCTATGAATGAAGTGAGTACAAGTACTAACCCTAATTGGGTTGTACCCCCTATGGGATACCCCACTATAGCCTACGCAAAAGCATGAGCTATATATGTTCTTACACACCCCCATAGGCAAAGTGGGGGAGAACAAGGGGTCACAAGACCAGTCAAGCAAAGCAAAGCAAAGCTCAGGGTGGATCACAAAGTCACCACACATTCCGAGCACAAGTTCAAAGGCCAAAAAGGGCCAGTTCACATGCAAGATCACATATATATATATAGACAAGAGGCTAAGCAAGCAAGAGCAAGAGTATATATATGTGACAGTACAGGTAAGGTCAAGAAGAGAGCAAGTGAGGCAAGACAGGCACAAGACCCAGCTAAGTGCAGAAGCGCTGGTGATCACAAGGCGCAAGTGCCTTGATGAAGACATCAGCAGTGTTGGCCTCAGAGGCCACGTACGCAAGCCGCAACTGTCCACGCTGCTGTAGCTCACGAGCAAGAAAGTAGCGGAGAGCAATGTGCTTTCTTCTGTGCTCCAGTCTGTGCTCTCGACACAAGGCCAGCATGGCCTTGTTGTCTACATACAGGACTGGAGGAGAACGAGGCGGCTCTCCAAGGTCGGTAAGCAGGTAGGTGAGCCAGCGAAGCTCCTGGGCAGCCATAGCCCCGGCGTAGATCTCAGCCTCACAACTGGAGCCGAGAACAGAAGACGAGCGGGTAGCCCGCCACGAAACAGAGCCGGAACCAAGGCTGAAGGTGTAACCCTGTGACGACCGCTGCGTAGCCTGGTCGTCAGCCCAAGAAGCGTCCGCGTGCCCAGTGAGGACCACTGGACTCCGCCCTCCAAGCACTAGCCCCATGCCCGATGTACTGCACAAGTAGCGCAACACCCTCTTCGCTGCAGCCATGTGCTCTGGTCGGTCTCTCCCACGAGCAACATTGCGTGCAAGAATGCTAAGAGGGTATGCAAGGTCAGGTCGTGTGCAGGTCATCAGGTACATGAGGCAACCAACAAGCTCTGGATACGGGCCACTCGACTCTACGGACTCATCCAAAGGCAGAGCTGAGAGTGAGTGGCGAGTAGGCAGAGGAGTGGCCTGAGGCAAGGAGTACGTGAAGCCAAAGCGCTGAAGGACCTGCTGCACCATGTGTGACTGAGTCAGGGTAATGGTGCGGCGTGCTCTATCCCGGGTGATCTGCAAGCCAAGGTAGCTGTGCAGTTCACCCAGGTCTGTGCACGTGTGTCTCTTCTGCAGCTCGAACTTCACGTTGGTGAGTCCAGCAGTGTCAGCAGTGGCAAAGACCAAGTCGTCGACGTACACGAGGATGTAGAACGGCGGCAGAGAGGTGTCGGTGCGCAGAAACAGCGACGGGTCGGCAGTAGAAGGAGCAAACCCAAGGGCCGCAAGTGTAGTCCTCAGTGTGTCGTGCCACTCACCTGGCGCCTGGCGGAGACCGTAGACTGGACGCCGGAGACTCCACTGGGTACCAGGAGGGAAAGACCCAATGAAGACAGGTGGGCGGCGCAGCCAGATCTCCTCGTGCAGGCTGCCCTGCAAGAAAGCAGTGCTGAAGTCGAGAGAGTGTAGCTCGTAGTCACAGTGAGCAGCAACGTGCAGCAGTACCCGAAGAGTGGTAATCTTCGGGGTGGGGGAGAAGGTCTGAAAGTAGTCAACTCCCTGCCGCTGACTGAAGCCACGAGCCACGTAACGCGCCTTGAAGACAGGCGGAGAACTCGGCGGCCGCTTCACCCTGAAGATCCACATGCCACTGACAATGTTCGCCCCAGGAGGGGGGACAGCGTCAACGTAGGTGCCTG